TCTAGAGAAAATATAGTTATGTGGTCGATTCAGAAACCCATAAAAATGTAGTTATGTGGTCGATTCAGAAACCCATAAAAATATAGTTATGTGGTCTATTCAGAAACCCACAAAAAGAGATGATAAATCAAATGAAGCATAATGATATATGAGCAGATATTTCAAAAAAACATGTATGCAAATGCCAAAAAATGGATGAAAAAGACAAAAGAAAGTTAAAATGACAGTTGCTTGAACTCTTTTACAATGAAATAAAGTGTTTAAATACATTGTCTATCAAACAACGTCATGACTAAGATGATGTAATGTCAGATAGAATTGTTGGGCAAAAACTTTGCCATGAATGGTACAATAGTAAGTATTCGAAGTATGTCATGTATGATGGTAGAGAAGAAAAACTTGATAAAACAAAACAAGACAAAGTTTACACAATTTCTTACTGGAATAAAGGTAATACTGATACTGAAGCTGTTGACTACAACATGAAAAAATATCAGCTTCCGCTGATGTTGGACTAGGAGAGTTGATTTTTTTTTGAAGTGTAATATGTAACAACTTATGATATTACTTGTAATGAAGCTTTCAAAATAGATACTGCAAGTGATAAAACTTACAAAACAGATACGGCATATGATGAAACTTGTATAAAGATATTGTAAGTAATATAACTTGAAGAAGTAGTCATATCAAGTCAGGTATGCCTGGTATTAAACCATATGTTTTTGTTTTACTTTTTTTTATAAATGTTTTTAGAGAAGAATAAAAGTTTGCTTACAGAGAGTGAATGGAAAAAATGTTTTGCCAATCGTAAGCGATTCATTAAAAATAAAAAGTATTTAAAAGATACCATGCTGTCAAAATACATATGGAAATTAAATGATAAAAATATTGATGATTTTATACTAAATTGGTTAATCCTTAAAATTTGACTTGGAATGACCTTTGCACAAGTGTTGTGACTTGCAAAATATTTTAATAGGCAGCTCTGGCTTATCTTCACATGGTGTCTATTGTTACAAATGATTATTATAGTGTTCCGTTTATGAAATTGACTATTTTAATTATTTACTAAAAGCTAAGACAACTATTTAAACTTAGGATATCTAAAATGTTTTCATACAGAAAAATATAAAATTGATTGTTACATTTTTTTATAGGATACATCACTGATATATTTGGTAATGAAATAAAATATATTTAATGAAATATCAAAAAATGAAATATACTAATTTATTTTGTTTGTTAAAGATACAATTATTTTTAAGAATTCAACATCTTTTTATTGTAGGTTGTGGGTAACCATTACCACCCTATTTAACAAACTTCTCAACTTAACCAAAATTTACGAATAGCAGCGGAAAGACTTTTTTTCCAAAAGTAGGCTCGGTTGTGGTCTTTATCTTTAGCTTGTAGGTAATACTTGGTGCAAAAAGCCTAATTCAAGTTTTAAATTGTTAACTTATTTTAAAATAATTATAATTGTTATTTTAAAGATTTATTTATTTTACTTTTTTTTTTTTTAGGTTGGGGGGGGCACACGCCCCTCCCACAAGTCAATAAGCACACCAACAATAAATGAATTTCTTGTAGCAAAAAAAAAATTTTATGTTTTTTATACTGTATACTAGTTTCACTTATTTTATTAAATATAGAAATATTCATTTATTTGTAATTAGAGAATTAAATATTTTTGAAATTAGGGTGTGTTAAACCATCACCACCATATCCACCACCAACTTTAATAAACATCAATCATTGATGGTCTGGAATAAAATTATACCAATTTTTTGTATAAAAAAAATAACCGTTAGTTGAAAAAAAACACTTTTTATTGAAAGAAATATGCTTATTTTTAGGGTAAAGGTGGTGGTTCGGCACCCCCTCTAGCCCCCAGGAAACGCTTAATAGGTGGACGATGTTATAAATTTGTAGCCCACAGTTACACCTATCTTTTGATACTAAGTTATAGGTATTTAGACAAGAATTGACAAAGTTATAACAATTTAAGTAAAGAAAAATTAAATTTTGACCACAGTTTCTTCAACGAATCCATATATCAAAAATTTGCGACTAAAAACGTCATAACTTTTTGTACAATAGTCCGATTTTAATAATTTTTTTACCTTTGAAATACTGTATTGAAGCACTTTCTAATGATTTATAACAATCTAACCTTGATCAATTTAAAATTTTCAATCCACATACCTACTATATTATAAAAACAAATATAAACTAAATGCTATATAAACTATGTAACATAATACATTTATATTTAACTTATATATAAATATTTTATCTTACATACTTAATAAGTAACTTGTGAACTTTTTAGCCTTTTTTTTTTTGCATTTATAGTATAGTCATTCACATATAATTATATATTATAATTTATATTATAATCATTCACATATAATTATATATATATATATATATATATATATATATATATATATATATATATATATATATATATATATATATATATATATATATATATATATTTATATATATATATATATATATATATATATATATATATATATATATATATATATATATATATATATATATATATATATATATATATATATATATATATTAGCTATATACCTTAATATAAATGTATCATACATCTACAAAAGTAGTGTTGGGTGAATTCTATTTTTGTTCAGAAAAAAATTGAATACTCAGATCTGAAAACAATTTCAAATCAAGATAAGACTATTCGAAATAAAAAAGTAAAAATTATTAAATTGTATCGCTCAGATTTTTAGAAAAACAGTTTTGAAAATGTAAACAAATCACGCTTTTAACAGTCAGATAAATGTAGCAGAGAATCACAGTTTTTTATATATTTAAACATCTTTATATTGTTTTTATCATTTTTGAATCAACAATTCAAATATCTTTATTATTATTTCATTCTATCAAGAGTATGCAAATAATAACTACTAAGTAAAACTTTAAAAAAATTGTTGCTACTCAGAAAAAATTTTGGTATCTAAAGGCCGTCACCATCTTTAAAACTATAATATTTGAATTTGACACTGCGCTTGTGTATAATAACTTTCCACATCTAAACGACCGTGCGTCAATGGTTTAAATATTATTCACTGCGAAGCTGTCAGTGTGTCAGTCAACACAGTTTTGTTTCAAGAATATATTGATGAAGTTGTACGACTTTTCGGGACAGAGGAAGAATTTACCCTGGTGATGGATAATGTTAGAATCCATCATAATGTTGAGATGAGGGCTCAGAACATTCAAATAAAATATTTGCCACCATATTCACCATTCTTGAATCCGTGTGAAGAGATTTTTTTTTATCTTAAGAACAACGTGCGAAGAAATACGGCACCAGCTGGAAGAAATGAACTAATTTCAAGAATCCATGAGGCATGCTTATCTATTCCTAATGTTAACAAACTATTACACACACTGCGAAAGCTTTTTCGAAGCGTGTCTTAGGTCAGATGACATACCTCGACAGTAATTGGAAAATAAACATATTTTAAATAAAATAAAATTTTGATTTTTTTAAAAAATCGAATAAAAAAAATATAAAGAAAACCTTTTTTTAAAATGTATAGAATGTTGAGAGTGCGCATGCGTTAAATGTTTCACGATTGTTTTAATTGAAAACCACATTGTTTTAATTGATTGTCGCGGTGTTTTAAATGAATGTCTTGGTTGTTTTAAATGGTTGTCATGATTGTTTTAAATGGATCTAAAAACCGGTATTATCTTGTTTCATATTATGATTAATTAGAGAAACATTTTTATAAAAATATTTTGGAAATATTTTATTTTGAAGTTTAAACATAAATAACAAGTTGAGGAAGATATTCAGTTCATATACGTTTAGAGCATTTATTTCCTTGAGTAACGGCTCAGCACTTTCGTACCTACTGAGCCCAAAACTAATCAACTTGTTTGCTTTTTTTTACATAAATATTTTTGGTTAATGCGAAAACCAAACTGTTTATGATAAAAAAAACGTTATTTTTTTCAAAATAATTGTAAAATCTGTTTTGCATAATACGTTCTAGCATTTTAGAAAAACAGGAAAGTATGGAAATTGGTATATAGTTTGATTTTATCGAGTCATTGCCGCCTTTTGTATATTGGCTAATTTTTATCGGTCACAAAAAAATGTCCTCTTTTAAAGAAAGATTAAAAATTAAAAAAAAAGGTTTCTTTTTAGCATCTGAGGCTGCTTTTACAACATCAGGGTTAATTTTATCTAACCCTGCACTCTTTTTTTTTTAAGTATACTAATTGCTAGCCAGAGTTCATTAACTGAAAGCTCCGATTCATCCATGAATGAACCTGATTTTTTCAAGTAAGATTTAAATTATTTTATCCTCTTAGGAACTTAGCCGGGTAGTTTTTTTCCTATATTTTTGACAAAGTCATTAACTATTTCTGCAATTTCATTGTTTTCAAAAGCATTTCCTCTATTATTTTAAAGATTGCTAAGATTTTATGACGAAAGTGCATTAAAATAAACAATACTTGTCATTAAAATAAACAATACTTGTCATTAAAATAAACAATACTTGTCATTAAAATAAACAATACTTGTCATTAAAATAAACAATACTTGTCATTAAAATAAACAATACTTGTCATTAAAATAAACAATACTTGTCATTAAATTAAACAATACTTGTCATTAAAATAAACAATACTTGTCATTAAAATAAACAATACTTGTCATTAAAATAAACAATACTTGTCATTACCGTAGAATAAAAGCCATTATTACTGATTATTTAAGACTTAAAAACTAGACCCAAAAACCCTAATTTTCCGTAATTTACATAATTTTAAAGTTTGCTATTTTAATTGCAAAACTTTGAGATAAGTTTTAAAACTATTTTATTTATCCTTGATTGTTAAAGAAGCACTGTGCGTAAATGCTTAATAAGATTTTGAGATAATAACTTTTTGCGACAAGTTTTTGTCAAGTATTAATGTTTGTTTTGTTTGAAATATTTTTACCAACTATCAATTTCTGTTAATATGGCACCACTTTTCTGCATTCCTTGTACACCTCTTAAAAGAACAATGCAATAGCTTTCAAATGAACCTTCCAAAATTTGATTAAAAAAAAATGAATTTTGGATAGGTTTTAAGTCTGAGAAATAAAAAATTAAAAAAATAATATTGTCTATGAAATCCTGAACCTTTTCTCAAAAACTTTCAACAAAATTCTCAATCAACACGCATCGTTAAAAAAACTAAATGGTAAAGAAATTAAACTAAAATCACAGCACTGTGGAATTCATAAATCAACATCACAGATTATATAACACAGGCTAAACAAGTAGATAGAAAATGAAAGTTCATAGAACTTTTTTATTTTCAACCAAATTTTCAACCATAAATTAATATTAATATTGGGTTAACATTGAACCATATTGTATATAAATTATTTCAACAAGAAATAATTTTTTATTTTAAAAAAATCAATTTTTTAAAATAAGTGTTAATTTTTATTTCTTGTTATGAAATATTACGAAAAATTCTTAAAATGACGTCACGTGACTTTTTCTAATAATAAATTTGATCTGGTGTTTTTAACTTTTCTTCTTCTAATCTTTCCTTCTCTAACTTTTCCCATTGTAATTTATTTTTATTTTGAAAATAACGAGCTAATCTTAATCTTCTTTTATAACTTCCTATTTTAATATCTACATCTTTATTTGTACAATCCATTTCTTATTTTTTAATTTATAATTTATGTAAAGAAATTTATTTTCAATTTTTTTTCTTGCTTCTTATTTATACCCTAATTCATGTAAATATTTAATTACTTCAAGGTGACCATTTTCTTTTGCAATATAAATTGTCCATTTGTCACATTTATACCCTAATTCATATAAATATTTTAACATTTCAAGATGACCATTTTCTGCAGCAGAATAAAATACCCATTTGTCACATTTATACCCAAATTCATACAAATATTTTAATATTTCAAGATGACCATTTTCTGCAGCATAATTAATTGCATATCTTGAACTTTTATACCCTAATTCATGCAAATATTTTAATATTTCAAGGTGACCATTTCGAGCAGCTTTATCTATTGCATCTTCTGTACCTTTATACCCTAATTCATGTAAATATTTTAATATTTCAAGGTGGCCATTTTTAGCAACATCATCAATTGTCCAATCGTAACATTTATACCCTAATTCATGTAAATATTTTAATATTTCAAAGTGGTTATTTATAGCAGCATAACTAATTGCTAATTTATCACATTTATACCCTAATTCAAGTAAATATTTTACTACTTCAAAGTGACCGTTTATAGCAGCAGAACTAATTGCACATTTTTCATATTTATACTTAAATTTATATAATTGTTGCTCAAATTCAAAGTCATAATTTTCAGTAGCATAATTAATTGCTAATTCTTCATAATAATACTTTAATTTATGCAAATATTTTACTCGTTCAAGGTTACCATTTTCTATAGCGCGAATAATTGCTTTTAATATTTTAATAACATTATTTTTATTTTTTTTTTTTTCTTCGTCTTCCATTCTTTTTTATATATACAAGAAAATTATTTAATTCATTTTCATTTTTTTTATTTTTAATGCGCATGCGCTAGATTTACTTATGCATAGTAGCGCTTATGCGTAGTAGTGAAGCATTGGTTAGCTTTATCACTACTAGAATTTATAGTAACTACATGTATCAAAATTATAAAATATATCCTTTTTTAACAGCTAAATTATTTGCCCATTCTGCACCTTTATACCCTAATTCATGTAAATATTTAATTACTTCAAGATTTCCGCTTTCAACAGCAGAATTAAATGTATCTTCTGCACCTTTATACCCTAATTCATGTAAATATTTAATTACTTCAAGATTTCCGTTTTTAACAACACAATTAAATTCATATTTTGAAGCTTTATACCCTAATTCATGTAAATATTTTAACATTTCAAGATTTCCATTTTCTGCAGCTTTTTCAAAAGCTATATTAAAATAATAATCTGAAGCTTTATACCCTAATTCATGTAAATATTTTAACATTTCAAGATTTCCATTTTCTGCAGCTTTTTCAAAAGCTATATTAAAATAATAATCTGAACATTTATACCCTAATTCATGTAAATATTTTAACATTTCAAGATATCCATTTTTAGCAGCATTTTCAAAAGCTATATTAAAATAATAATCTGAACATTTATACCCTAATTCATGTAAATGTTTAATAATTTCAAGATTTCCATTTTCTGCAGCTTTAATAAAAGCATCATTTGTACTTTTATACCCTAATTCATGTACATATTTTAATATTTCTTCATCATCTTCATCATCTTCATCATCTTCATCATCTTCATCTTCATTATCTTCATTATCTTCATCATCTTCTTCAGTCATTTCAATATCATTATCGTATTCAGTAGTTTCAGTAATTTCAGTAACTTCAGTAGTAGTAATTGTAGTAACTTCAGAATCTTCAGTCATTTCAATATCATGAATATCAATTATATTTAATTTTTCTTCTATTAATCTTAATCTTTCATTTATTGATCTTAAAAATAAATTTTGCATTTCGTTTTCCATTCTTTTTTTATATAAAAGAAAAATTATTTAACTCATTTTAAATTTTTTGATTTAAAGTATTTTTTACAAATAATAAAAGAAAAAATGTATGATGAAGAAATTAATGAAATATCTGAATTTCAAAAAGAATTTAAACTTTTTGAAGAAATATTAAAATTTGAATTTGAAGAATCAGATTCTGAAGATGACACTTATTATACATCTGATGAAGCTACTTATTATACATCTGATGATGAAGAAGAAGTTAAAGAAAAACCTATAGTTCCAATTCCTTTAAAAACAGTTCAAATCATGGAACTGCATAAAGATAAGCTGAAATGGATTAATTATGTTCCAACTTATAATGTTATTAATGATGATTATCCTGCTATAGATAGTTTCTTAACAAAAAAACACAACAAAAATAGAAAATTTAGTTTTGAAAAACCATTTAATGTAGATATTAATTTTACTGAAGATGGAAAACCTTCAACAATTCATTTTGTAGAGAAACTACCCATTTTCTGTAAAAATATTTTAAAAGATAATTATTGTCATTTTGAACATAGATGTAAATACAATCATGATATTCCTTATTGTAATACTGTAAAGGAAAGACTGATATGCACTAAATCTTCATGTCAATATAGACATTTATCTCTATGTTCTGAATACCCTAAATGTAAGAATAAAAAGTGTAGATTGTTTCATCCAAAAAAGTCAGAATTATTTAAATTAAGAAAAGCAAAGACTAAATTATGTAAATATATTCTTGATAAAAAAGAATGTAAAAATATAAATTGCAAATATGCTCATTCTTTTAAAGAAATTGAAGAAAATGTAGAAATTTGTCATTATACTCCATGTAAATTAGTAGAGAGTAAATTAAAGAAAAATAAAAAAGGAGAAAAAACATTAATATATAAAAATAATGATAATAAAAAGTGTAATTTTTTACATCAAGGTGAAAGCATTTTAAATTATATTGCAAGAACTTTAAAAACAAAATAGATATGAGGATTACAGAGTGATTTAAAAAAAATCTTTACATTTATAAAATGTATAATAGTAGAATGTTTTTATATTATGAAAAGAATGAACAATATAGAATAAATTTTTATATTAATTCAGATTTAGAACATAGAGCAATAAATGATAGACATATTAAAGTATTCGCACAAGAAGATTTTACAGTAAAATCAAATTCATATAATAACATTTCTTTAATGTGTGGTGTTGAAATAGAAAAAGGACATATAGTGATTTCAATTGCAGAAAATTATAAACCAGAACTAAATTTACTAAATTCTATTGTAACAGAGTCTACTGATGATATTAAAATAACTGTATATAATAACGATAAAAAAGATATAAACATTAAAAAAGGAGATTTGTTATGTTGTATATCAACTTATAATGGTATTTTAAATGTAAATTATATATCACATAGAGATGCTTTAGAAAATGAAAAAGAAGAACAAATGAGACAACAAAATGACTCAGGAACTAATCAGAAAAGTGATAAAGAATCTGTAAAATCTTTATTATCAATTATAGAAGAAGTAATTAAAGATAAATCTGATGAAGATATATTTAATTTTGGTAAAAAGTGATTTAGCGAAGCATTGATCGCAAAAGTGATTTAAAACAAATTTTTCTTTATAGAAAAAAGAAATGCTATGTAATAATGGATATAATAATGAATATAATAATGAATGTAAGCAGCTTTATCCAGATCTTAACCAGTTTTCAGAAAATCCATCTGCACCACCAATTTCAGATCATAACTTTAGATTACAAAAGATTAGTGAAATTCAAGATAAAATAGAATGTGAAAGGAAAAGAAGAGAGATTTTAAGTAAAAAATATCACAGAGCTGTAAGAATCATTTCAGCAGTTGATAATACATTACTTGCAACTACTATGACATTAGGAGCTGTTGGTATTGGTTTTTTAACAACAATAGTTGGAACACCAGTAGCTATTGCATGTGAAGGTGCAGCATTAGGTATGGGTGTATTATCACTAATAGGATCACAAGTTAATAAAAAATTTACAATAAAAGCAGAAAAGCATGAAAAGATTAAAGTACTAGCTGATGCAAAACTAAATACAATAAGTAGTCTTATTTCTAAAGCTATATCAGATCAATATATTGATGATGCAGAATTTAATATGATACTTTCAGAACTTGAAAAGTTTCAATCTATGACTGAACAAATTAGAACAAAATCTAAGAATGATATAGATGAACAGACTAAAGAGTCAATATTTAACAAAGGAATAGAAAAAGGCAAAAGTGATGTCATTGAAGTGTTAAATATGAGATTTAACAAAAATCAGAATATAGAAGTGATGAATAATACTCTTAATAAATAAAAAAACATATATTTTGTATTACTTGAACATATATTATGTATTAAAAAACATAATATATGTTGATTTTAATCCCTTTAGGGATCTAGGGATCACATTGTGATTTAAAAAAATTATTACATATATAAAAATGTATGCAAAAGCTACAGATATTGATGCAAGATTAAAAATAGCAAAAGAACTTGCTAGTTTAAAGAAAAGTATATATCAAGATGATGTAAATGAAAAGTTAGGTTATGATGCTTTACAGACTAACTTGGAAAAGTTGTACAAACCAATAATAGATAGTCAATCTGGAATAAAAGAAGGTATATCTAAATTAGAAAATAAAGCTGATCAAATAGCAAATACTTTTTCAAATTATCCTGCTTTACTAGATTCTGAAACTAAAGCAATCATGCCACCTGAAGTTGTAGATAACATGAGATTAGGACCTATCGCAACAGAATATTTAAAGTTATATACAACTAAAAATAGTAAAAAAGTATCAGATGACATATTTGGTATACATTACAATGAAGGTAATGAAAAATTTTACATTGGTAAAAAACCAATAATTATTGAAGGTAATGATATAATTATTGAAGGTAAAAAATACATTGGTACAACAGGTCTTTGGGAGATTATAGTAAAATCTCATCCTGTTAAATATACTAACGATGATCGTAATAAGTATAAAGAAATTTTAGATCAAACAGATGCAATTCGCTCTGAGTTAAATTTAGCAAAACCAAGATCATCTAGAGGTTATAAGTACACTAATGTAATAAAACCTATTTGGGAAGAGATGATTGGAAAGTCTGGAAAAGGAGTTGTTATTCTTCCTAGTGATCCAAATGCACTATTTGATATGCTTAAATTACGCTTAGCTGGTTTACAAGCAGGAAATACTGGAACAAGAAATGAGATTGTTGCTATTTGTGATGAGTTGTTACGACAGGGGCAAATAGATGATGATGAGTATAAAGCATTACAGAAAGCAATAATCACAAAGTGATTTAAAAAATTATTTTATATATAAAAAATGACAAAATACTATGATACTCTTATCAATCTGTCAGATAGTCAGAAAGAAAAAATTAAAAACGCAATTGAATCTGGTACTAATGCTAGTATAAAACTATCTTATGAAGATTTAAATGGTGAACACAAAATAGCTTTAACAGAGTCACAAATAAACAGAATGAATGCAGCCTATTTAAAAAATAAGGGTATAACACTTTCACTGAGTAGAGCACAACTTAAACATAATGCTAAAAAAAATGGTGGATTTCTACCTCTACTTGGATTAATTGGAAGTGTAATTGCATCAAAAGTTGTTCCGGCTATAGCAACAGGATTATTGACTGGAACAGCTGCAGCTGCTGGAAGTACTATAGTTAATAAAATTGCTGGAAATGGTATTATTTATATGAAAAAGAATGGTTATGGATTTAAAATTAGAAAAGTAGGAAAAGGTGTATTTTTAAACCCATGGAATAGTGGTTATAATCATTTAGACGGATATTATTCAAAAAATGGAAATGAATATTCATCAGTAGGTAGAGGTTTGTTATTAGGAGAAAATTCTCCATTTAAGAATATACCATTATTAAATTTGTTTCTTTAGATCACTTCGTGATCCAGGCTTCACTAAGTTTTGAAAGAACCAATGCTTCATAAAAATATATATTTTTTTAAAAAATATATATTTATTGTTTCCACAACGAAGTTGGATAATAAAATAAATCTAATCCACTTCTATACTTTCCATTTAATAAATCAGAAGACAAATCTATAGCAACAAATCCATGCTTTTTTGACCAAGCTTCATTACAAAACTTTTTAAACTCATCTAATTTCATATCATTTGAAACATGATCATTATAAATATGATTTACATTTTTAGAATCTTGTTTAAACAAGCAAATAAAATTTGCATTTTCTCGTATCGTTCTCCTGGGCAACTCAAAATAATTTTGTGCCAAGTAGAAACAATCTACATTGCTATGTCTTCCTCTTATATAGTACTTTTCACACTTGTTTTGTTTTGTTAATTGTAAATCATCAAATATCATTAAATTATTTTTAATACAGTTAAGACTTTCAGGTTCTGGTACATCCTCTGCTGTTTCATAAAACTGACATTCTATATCTGTTTTATCTTTTAAATTTCTTGAAATGTCTTTAATAACAAACTCTGGATTTACATTGTTTTTATTTATTTGATCTTGCAACTCAAATAGTTTAAGAATAACTTCTTTTGGTAATTTATTTTCAAAAGAATTTTTTAATATTTTGTATTCAGGTTGAAAAAGAGATTTTCCAAAAACTTGTAAATTATTATAGTCTAACCAACCAGGTCTTAATAGCAAGTTTAATAATAATGTTGTTTTTCCACAACCTGATTTTCCAACAATAATCCCTCTTATACTTTTAGGTAATAACTCATTATTTTGACGTTTACTTTTATTTACATTCCATGATAAATCTATAATTTCCATTTTTTATTTACGAAAAGTATTTTTTAAATTAAATAAATTAAAATACATATATAAAAAATGTATTGCGTTAAATGTAAAAACAAAACAGATACACTCAACTTACAACATGCTGTGAGTAAAAACAAAAGAAATATGCAATGTGGAAATTGTGCAATCTGCGGAACAAGAAAATGTCAATTTATAAAAGGAGCTCAAAAAGGAGGTGATTTGGTAGAATCTATTAATAAATTTACAAGTAATAGAAAATTACCTTTGCAAAAGTTTCCAGGTGAAATGCATATACCAGGTATGAACTTTGCAGGACCTGGTACTAATTTAGATGAAAGATTAACTTCGACTGAGATGCCTAAAGAATGGAGCATGCCTGTAGATAGAGTTGATAAAACAGCTTATATTCATGATCTTGCTTATAAACATTTTACAGATAAAGAGAATAGAAATTTAGCTGATAAAATAATGCTTGAACAAATGGATGCTATACCTAATCCTACACCTCGTGAAAAATTAGAAAGAAAGATTATAAAACCTATCATATCTGCTAAAGTAAGGTTTGGTATGGGAAATAAAGAACCAATAAGTATTAAAGAATTATGTCAAAAAAACTGCAAGCGCAGAGGAAAAAAAGCAAAAACCTGAAATGGACTGATGAACTTGCAAATGAA